CATTACTACCATTAATTAGAAATCTTTCATTACTACCATTAATTAGAAAGCTTTCACATGCTAAGTGTTTCTAATGTCAAACTCATTTCTAATTCATTTTAAATAACAGTTGAATAATTTAAATGATATTATAAAACGTAAAATAGAATGGATTATATAACACTATCAACTTTAATTAGTAATTTATTAGAGGTTCCTGATAAAATCTGCAAAGTTATCGATCTTGATCTAACATGTCGGCTTTAATCTCATTCCCATCACCCTAACGTATTATCCCTGCTTATCCTTAAATATTTATTGTCATTGTCCTTATCAATTTTCCTCTTTGCTACATCGATTTACAAATGTAAACGTAGTACTAGATAGGCATATAGGTTTTATCATTTTAATGTTAAAATGGCTAGATGTAACCGTGGATTCTCTACTTTTTTTTTTGTCTCTTGCACTTTTTGTTTTTGGAAATCTCCTCAGGCCTCTTGTTTTCAGATCAACTTTGACCTTCAAAATTTTAAATGCGATGTCACTCGTTATCATCTGTCTTCTCAAAACCCTGTTCTTTTATTTTCTCTCTCCTTAATAATGGCTTCGTTTTTCTCATATTTTTTCACACTCAGCGACCCCTTGTCTCTATGTTGCTTAGGATAAAATGATTTAAATGTGACGAAAGGACTATTTAGGGACTCGAATGTCGACCAGTTGACAAGGAGGTTTTCATATATTCCATTGTCTATTTCCCCCGATTGTTCTCGTGATTGTCTTTTAAAGGAAGACTAGACAACTCTGAGAGAATTGGAAAAACTACCGGGATTCAGCACTGGCGGTCACAATCTTAGCAACATAAGATACGCACATGAAACAGTACTGATAGCTCGTCCTGGGTATGACGATAAACTACGTCCAACAGCAAGGCCTCTACACAGGAGGCTTTGAGAAGCATGGAACCACATCTTAATTGCTGGTGTTCCCAGGTCAAACCTGACCCGGGATGGTAGCACCTGTTAGGGTCCCAGCTATAGGCAAATATTTAAACTCGAAACTGAGATAAAAAGCATTATGAAAGGGTAAAAAAAGGTTTTAATACCAGAAATACTTTGTAAAAAAATTATTACCAGAAATACATTTTTGAAGAAAAAAGATATTACCAGCAATACGTTTTTTAAAAAAAAAATATTACCAGCTATACAATTCTGAGGAAAAAAATATTACCAGAAATAGATTTTTGACAAAACAAAAATATTATCAGGAAAAAAAAAGTTATCGGCATAAATGACCCATTGAGGTTGATGTGCTGTAAAACAAAAACCAAACGAAACCAAACAGTACTGATAGCAGACGCGGAAAAGAAATTACAAAACCTCCTACAGAAGGCAGCGAAAGAGATCAAGAAGAGAGTACTAAACATAAACTACAAGAAGAATGCATTGTCATCAGTAAAAGGATGAGCCCGAAATGCGATTTGCAGGTCGAGGATAATAAAATCAACCGGATGCGGAAGTTTAAATATCTGGGAATTTTTTTGACAGAGGACGGTAAGTGCGACATTGAGATCCGTAAACTTATTGGGATGTCCAAAGACTGATTCCAAAACCTGTACGGAGTATTGCGAGACAGGAGGATTTCTTTGATAACGAAGAAAAGAGTATTGAGCTGTTACGTGACATCTGTCCTCCTTTACGGCAGCGAATCTTGGACGGTCTCCTCAAAGATGAAGAAGAGACGAGGTGACGGGGATATGGTTCTACAGAAGTATTCTGTGTATTTCATGTACCGAACATGTAAGCAACGATGAGGTCTTAAAGAGGATGCATACAAGGAGGAGACTTATACTTATCAAGAAAACACAGCTCAAGTTTCTGAGACACGTTATGAGAAGGGGAGGCCTGGAGAATCTGATACTCATAGGTCGAACAGAGAGAGAGAAAGAGAGACAAGGGAAAGCAAGTGAATGAGAGAATGTGTACTGGAAGAGGTGGCAGAAGGACGAAACTTAATTGACAGCTACAAGAGACAGGGGGGTGTGGAGAGCCATGATCGCCTACATCTTGTAAGGACACGGTATATAAAAAGAAAGAATGATTTTTCTGCGATGTTCTGCCCCAGACAAGTTATTTAAAAAAAAGAGTTTATATAAAGCTATGAATTTTTATGCGTGGTTACATCAACTCACAAATAAAAGTACAAGATTTAGAACCCAAATTATTAGACAATTTCCGATAGTCTCCGTGCCTAAATTTCACATCTGATCAGTCCATTCTTTCTAAGATCAACATAGTTCAAAAGTATTTACGCAAACTTATATGTCCCGGAAAGGCATATATTTGTTCGAAGTAGCAAAGTGGTTGTTGACTCCTGTAACCGAGTAGGACAATCTTGCAGGTAACCGTAATGGACTGGTCCTCGCCGTAGTGGTAGGCAATAGGCGTAGGCAATAGGCGAAGACTATAGGCGTAGTCAATAGGCGTCGTCCTGTACCTCCACATCAGTCTGTATTTATGGCTGACACCAGTCAACCATATTACTGTGAGGGGAAACCCAGGTGTATGCATATTCATTACATCACGAACTTTTAAGGGATGAGTTATTTTCTACCCACAAAGCCAACGACGCAAATTTCTCGCTACACTTTCGCCATTACCACGAAACATATTCTGCTGAGATACATTCTCTAGATACACTACTTCGCACCTTTACTGATAACACCCACCATACCATGTACACAGAGTCGAAGCATGTTCATTCTCATCGTATTCTATTACTAAGGAGGAAATTCCATTCGGGCATCTCCTTTCCATGAGCCGCTAATTTATGTGACAGATCCCTAGAGGATGCTTCCCTGATCAGTAACGGGTGCGGCAAATAGATTTACCCATTTTTTTCATTTTATTACAAAATGAAAAGTTTTAGTTTTTTTTTTTAATGATTTTTAACAAGTTGATCGTTATATTTATTGACAATATATATTATATATATATATATATATATATATATATATATATATATATATATATATATATATGTATATATATATATATATATATATATATATATATATATATATATATATATATATATATATTTACAATTCAAAATGGTCACACTTTGCTTTCACCATAACCCTTAATCCTTTCTCAAATGAAGCGCATGTCTTCTTCACCACCTCATTGTTCCAATTGTACAACGATGTCATAAATGCTTCTTTCAGCTCTAGCAAACTTGATATGTAAAACACCGCTCGCCAATTTGGGCCACAATTCCATATTGCTCGACAGATTACAAATTGACTTGTTAAAAAAATCCACGGAAATATCTCTTGCACCAGCCCTGCGTGGGCAGGAGTTTCGACTTGAGTGAAATTTTGCTATTCACTTCCACTCCTCCATTAATCGACGCCAAGGGAGATTTCGAAATATCAGTGACAACAACATCCCAATGATACTAGTTGGTTTCTGTCGCTTGACACCTGTTCAGACACACGCGGGAATGTTTCCTGGTGAGGCGACGTAAGCTCTATACCTGGCTACAACAGAGGGGAATAAAACCTTGGAGATCTCAGTTACTACATGGAAATAACGAAAACTGAGATATCCATGTCACGTGGAACAAGAACAATCTATCTAAATAAAGGGTTCTGTTCGAAATTCCGACGTATATCACCTGAGCGGCAGAAACATCTTGAATATGAAAATAAAGACAAGTGTCCGAACAATGTGTAAATAAAAAAATATGATTAGAAAAGTCTACAATAACTTTCAAAACGCTGTACTAACAAGTGATATGAACATTAACAATACGTTTTCATTATATACAATTACAGCAGCGAATGTTTGACCGTCTCTTCAAAGATGAAGAAGATACTCGATTTGCAGGTCGAGGATAATAAAATGAACCAGGTGTGGAAGTTAAATATCAGGGAAATGTTTTCACAGAGGACGGTAAGTGCGACACTGAGATCCGTAAACTTATTGGGATATCCAAGAACGCATTTCAAAAGCTGAGGAGAATATTGCAAAATAGGAGGATTTCTTTAGTAACGAAGAAAAGAGTACTGAGCTGTTACGTTACATCATCTGCCCTCTTTTACGGCAGCGAATCTTGGACGGTCTCCTCAAAGATGAAGAAGAGACTCGAGGTGATGGAGATATGGTTCTACAGAAGGATGCTGGGGATTTTATGTACCGAGTGTGTAAGCAACGATAAGGTCTTGGAAAAAGTGCAAGCAAGGAGGAAGCTTATACTTAACACTAGGAACAGGCAGCTGAAGTTTCTAGGACACGTTATGAGAAGGGGGGGGCTCGAGAATCTGATACTCACAGGTCGAATAGAGGAAAAGAGAGACAAGAGAATGTTTTAAACTGGCAAGGCGAGGTTGCTTATAAACTTTAAATTTAATATGGGTTGTTTCATATCATCATCGCTCGTTCAAGATTCCTGCTGCAATATATGAATTACGGAAATGGCTACCAATATTTCAGATATAAAAAGGAATGCCAGACATTCTATTGTAAGCTGGCAATTATTAAAATGTTTCAATGCTTAAAAAATTGCCAAAGACTTTTTAACACCATTGTACTCGATAATAAAAAAAAATAGTTTTCTTTCATTACGATAATAAAGCTTCCAGAATTAAGGATTTCCGTTTTATAATTATTGTCCTAAATATTATAAAAGCTTTTCAAAATAACTTCCTGATCGATTAAAGTAGTTTTCTGTTTCTTTAATTATTTTTCATGCATAAATTTTATTTCTATTTTAGAAATTTTAACTCAAATAACAAATTGACACATATCATAGGCGAATATAAATTAATTTCTATTAAGTAACTTCAAACTTTCTGAGAGCCTGTATCATAAGAGAGCAATATATTAAAATCTTTTATGTAAAATATAAGAAATAAATTAATTCCTATCAAATGATTTAGCGTCTTACTGTTGAACTCACGACGATGTTTACGCTTTGTTGTCATGCAAAATGGCGATGATTCAACTTTTTAAAGACAGTCATTAAGATGTGAAATGCACTTTAATTTGATCAAAATTGATTGGACCAAACGCCATAACAAATAATTTCAGCAGGGATACAGCAATGACTCTTCGGCATAACACCAAATCGCTAATGAAAACAGAATCAAAAACATATATGCACATAAGATAGATAGATAGATAGATAGATAGATAGATAGATAGATAGATAGATAGATAGATAGATAGATAGAACAGGCTGAGAATAGATAGATAGATAGATAGATAGATAGATAGATAGATAGATAGATAGATAGATAGATATGAACATAATAAAATAGAGAAAGAGAGAGACAATTCAACACTGTGATAGATAGATAGATAGATAGATAGATAGATAGATAGATAGATATGAACATAATAAAATAGAGAAAGAGAGAGACAATTCAACACTGTGATAGATAGATAGATAGATAGATAGATAGATAGATAGATAGATAGATAGATAGATAGATAGATAGATATGAACAGAATGAAATAGAGAAAGAAAGAGAATTCAACATTGTTATAGATAGATAATGAACATAATAAAATAGAGAAAGAGAGAGACAATCCAACACTGTGATAGATAGATAGATAGATAGATAGATAGATAGATATGAACAGAATTAAATAGAGAAAGAAAGAGAATTCAACATTGTTATAGATAGATAATGAACATAATAAAATAGAGAAAAGAGAGACAATTCAACACTGTGATAGATAGATAGATAGATAGATAGATAGATAGATAGATAGATAGATAGATAGATGAATAGATATGAACAGAATGAAATAGAGAAAGAAAGAGAATTCAACATTGTTATAGATAGATAATGAACATAATAAAATAGAGAAAGAGAGAGACAATTCAACACTGTGATAGATAGATAGATGGATAGATAGATAGATAGATAGATAGATAGATCGATAGATAGATAGATAGATAGATAGATAGATAGATAGATAGATAGATATGAACAGAATGAAATAGAGAAAGAAAGAGAATTCAACATTGTTATAGATAGATAATGAACATAATAAAATAGAGAAAGAGAGAGACAATTCAACACTGTGATAGATAGATAGATAGATAGATAGATAGATAGATAGATAGATAGATAGATAGATAGATAGATATGAACAGAATGAAATAGAGAAAGAAAGAGAATTCAACATTGTTATAGATAGATAATGAACATAATAAAATAGAGAAAGAGAGAGACAATTCAACACTGTGATAGATAGATAGATAGATAGATAGATCGATAGATAGATAGATAGATAGATCGATAGATAGATAGATAGATAGATAGATAGATAGATAGATAGATATGAACAGAATGAAATAGAGAAAGAAAGAGAATTCAACATTGTTATAGATAGATAATGAACATAATAAAATAGAGAAAGAGAGAGACAATTCAACACTGTGATAGATAGATAGATAGATAGATAGATAGATAGATAGATAGATAGATAGATAGATAGATAGATAGATAGATAGATTTTATCGGAATAAATTCTACATTGAGATTCTATTAAAGAATATAAGAATTAATTACACTGATATTCGCTACGTTTGAATACCCCTCATCACCACTGACTCTGGGTATCGAAAGCTGTTTGCAGTAAAACTAAACGCTATCAATTTGGTGTATTTTTTTCTGGAATCGTTCTTGACGCAACCCACTTTACAAAGTCAGACAAAATACGTTGGTCAAACCGGACACTTTTAGTACGCTCCTAATATAATCTTATAGAAAAGACTATAACCTTTACCAGACAAGGCATAAATTAAGAAAAACGAAATCATGTTTATCTTGATATCAGCTAATATATATTCCGATACTTTTGCTAGCCAACTACAGGGTTACACATTGATTTATACGTTTGCGAAATTGTTATTGGCAGTTTACTACATCTGAGTTTGGTCAGTCGAAAGAACATCTCGAATAAACAAAAACAGCAAAAACATTACAGATCGTTTAAACTTTTTGATTTGTTCGACAAATAACCGTTTTCGCTAATTAATGACAGAATAAAGCCTGCACATGGTTTATAGGAAAATAAATTGCAACTCATGCGACTTTTCATTTGTCTGAAGACTTAGTTTATTTTTATATTCGTTTTATTTTCTAATTTTGGTTTTTTGGAGTAGGTTCGGAATAATCCAAAGCTCTGTTGCAATTTGTTACGGAAAATAGCATTAATTTTCTATTTTATTTCATCTTAAACTATTCGAAAAAATACTTTTTTCGCCCTGGCACACAAAACTTGTATCATATAATTTTGCGTTTATTCGTGTAACTTCTTCTACAAAAAAAATCCTATCTATCTATCTATCTATCTATCTATTTTCTATCTATCTATCTATCTATCTATCTATCTATCTATCTATCTATCTATCTATCTATCTCAGTCTGTTCATATCTATCTATCTATCTATCTATCTATCTATCTCGTTCTGTTAATACTGTTTCCATTTGCTTATATATATCTATCTATCTATCTATCTATCTATCTATCTATCTATCTATCTATCTCAGTCTGTTCATATCTATCTATCTATCTATCTAATTCTGTTAATACTGTCTCCATTTGCTTATATCTATCTATCTATCTATCTATCTATTTTCAGCCTGTTCTGTCTATCTATCTATCTCAGTCTGTTCATATCTATCTATCTATCTATCTATCTATCTATCTATCTATCTATCTATCTATCTATCTCAGTCTGTTCATATCTATCTATCTAATTCTGTTAATACTGTCTCCATTTGCTTATATCTATCTATCTATCTATCTTTTTATATATATATATATATATATATATATATATATATATATATATATATATATATATAAAGTTGTAGCCTGTATCTGTCTGTTTGTTATGGAACACCTCCTATGGTTTTGGAGATAGAGCCCCATCACTATATATATATTCTGAAACTAAAATACCAAGGGTACTTGGATAAGTACATTTCATTTTGATCAAAGAGGATCTCTGGGGCCACAAAACTCCCACTGAATTTTTCCTCTTTGATATAAATTAAATTTAAACTTGAACAAGGCAATGTCCTGTAGGATACATGCATAAGTATATTTTATTTTGATCAAAGCGTGTCCCCGGGGGCACAAACGCCTCACTAAATTTTTCCCCCTTTCGAAATGAAATAAATCAAATTTATACAAGAGAATAACTCCTATCCCAAATAAAGAAGGAGAAAGTCAGAAGATGGAGGTCATATTGGCATGATCATTGAGCAATATTAAAATGCATCATTTTTCTCCCCAAATTTTAACAATTATTTAAAATCAATCATTTTCTTACAATAAAATGCGTAACACGCACCAAGGCGCGGGTAATTTGACTAGTATACATACATACATACATATATATATATATATATATATATATATATATATATATATATATATATATATATATATATGTGTGTGTGTGTGTGTGTGTGTGTGTGTGTGTGTGTGTGTGTGTGTGTGTGTCTGTGTGTGTCTGTCTGTGTGTGTGTGTGTGTGTGTGTGTGTGTGTGTGTGTGTGTGTGTGTGTCTGTGTGTGTGTGCGTGTGTGTCTGTGTGCGTAGAATCAATTGAAGAAGAACAATAAACGAAAAACCAGCCTTCGAAAAAACGAGAAGACAAATGGAAGAGACGAAGAGCCCCCCACCCCCAAAAAAGCCAGAGCACTACATCCCCTGAAACTTTCTACCCTTCCATGAGGTAACTGCGAACGTCACTTCATATCCATTATAAAACTGATTTCACACAGAAGCGGATGCTTGATCTCGATCTCTCTCTCTCTCTCTATCTATCTCTCTCTCTCCATATATGTATATATATATATATATATGTGTGTGTGTTTGTGTGTGTGCGTACCTGTGTATGTGTGTGAATTGAGATCAACTATACATCAAATATGGATTAGAATCCGACAAAATGATAGCATAAGGAACAAATTGGAAACGTTTATAAATTTAACATGTTTCGCATTTATTGAAGAAAATTGAATATCGAAAAAAAATAAGATTATGCTATTTTTATTCTTCTGTTATTTTTTTTCATTGGTTAAGTAGACCTCATGATTAACTCTCCTATCAAGCAGCATTCGTATGAATAACTCATGTCTATACGCAGGTTTCTCTTATGTTCTTAGATGCGGGCATTTAGATTTATTGGTGTTACGCCAATATAGCTTTTCCTATATTGCAAGCATTTTAAATCATAAATCCTGGCATCTATTGTGTTGTTGGATTTTTCTTTCTAATTATCTGGAGGTAGTGATGTTACTGATCATCGTGTTGCGGATTATTAGTTTGTTTTCAAATTTTATTGGTAGAGTGTCGATGGGTAAAATTATGATGCCTAATTTTGGGCCTCATGGATTTTGTATGCACGTTTTCTAGCGTTGAGTTTGACATGATTTTGGTAGTGATGAAATCTAAAGGTTTTTTTTTTCAATGTATTTTCCTTGTTTATCTCGGCATTCTGAGCTCTGCATTCTAAGGCCTCCAGGCTAAAAACCCATGATTCATGCTGATTTTATTTTTTGTCCGCGTTTATTAAATAAATTGATTAAATCAGTTTTTATGGGTTTGCTATAAACTTTCAAATGTAATTTGTATTGCTTCATATTTATAAGATGTCGAGAAACAGTAGACATTTGTCTGTTCCATGTATATCTGTGGATTCGACAGTTCGATCTACAATATTAAATCTCTTTACCATATTTAATAGATTTTCATCATCGACATTAATACGAAACAATAACAAATTAGATTTTAAAGCGGGTCAAAAGCACACATATATACAAACGAATACACATTAATCATCCAAATCAGACATAGACAAGCTAGAATTATCATAGAACATAGACTCATGAATTATACAAACGGACGCTGCTTGAGAGGTCACATGAGGTCTGCTTAGCCAATGAAAAACGAACAGAAAAAATACCAACATTTTCTTTTCTCCTACATATTTCATTTTCTGATGAAGCTTAAATAAAAGCGAAAAATTGAAATTTATAAATGTTTCCTATTTGCTCCTTATCCCATTATATATATATATATATATATATATATATATATATATATATATATATATGTAGTAGAATCCCCTGACAACCGGACTAAGAAGGCCTTCCAGATATGTGGAATTGGTTACAAAGTCCGGATATGAGGGGTTATATTTAGATTAAAAATAATTGAAATCAGGTTTTACATTTATTTTCAAAACAAAAGAAGCTAATGGTGAGTAAAATATAACTGAAGTGTTTTTAAGAAAAAAGAAATAAATAATGAAATATTAATGAAAATTTATTAAATTAATAATGTCACGTATGCAAAACAGATAATGTAACTAGTATTTTTTTTTGTTTGAACATTGCCTTGCATGAATGTAAAATTTATATTCTACGATTATTTTCTCAGATCAATGATTAAAAATGGTTTCTAGTGAATGAAAAGTAAAGAATCATTCTTCATCAGATCTCGTTTATATAATCACAGAGATCTTCTAATATGAGAAATCACATCACTGGACAACTTTCAAAAGTATCAAATATACTGGATACAAAAAATAATGACATAATAAATTTTGACCATAAAGAAACGGTTACGAAAGAACCTCCAATCAATTCTAGAAAAATCGATAGGAGTCATTAGACATAAGAAATTTATATTTCTGAAAAATTTGTGATAGAAGCATTTTACAAATTTTAACAAAATTTCCCTATAAAGAAACGGCTATTGTCACCGTTAATTTGTTTGCTTTTACTCTGTACTATCCATAAATGTATTCTTCAAGAAAGTAAAATATTTTCCACAATTTAAATAGACAGCCTATTTTAAAGGGAATTTGAAATTAACTACCACTATAATAAACCAAAATATTACTCTACCTATATTAGTTTGTATTTTGTAATATTGTGATTGACTATTTTCATGAAGGACCTAAACTCTTACCTACCCATCACATCGATCCAATGTAGCTCTACATTCCCCACTAAAATTGTTGTTGATAAATAATTTTTCATGTAATTCTTCGCCCAACGCACATTTTTCCTCTTGTGTTTCATTCCATTCATATTTTAGAAAATATTCCTAATATTTTTTCCCTTTTTAAGTTTTCGGCCAAATCACGTTGAAACATTACGGTCACCGAACTAACGTAACGTCGAACCTGGTCACTACCTAGATGGGTCACCTTTTGGGAAATAGCAGGTGCGGTAAGCTTGGATGCGCGGCCGGTGTAATGGATAATGGCTCGAATTCTTAATCGGACAGCCGAGTTCCAATTCTCATTGGATCTATTTCGCTACGGGCAAATTTTAATCCATTTCGTCTCCCCGGCCTATAGGTTTATTAGTAAGAATTGTATCACCGATTCTATTATTATCTCCCAAAAATATTATTACAATCTAAAAATATTCTGTGGCTTTAAATAACCTGCTATGGGTTGATAATCCGTAGAATCAATTAATCAATCTTCCCTTTTTTACATGCAAATCATCAGCTTCTTCAAATATATTCTTGTTCAGTTTTTCTCGTATCTCTTTTCGTGATCTTGTTAATGCCAGTTTTCTTTTAGATCTTTTATATGTTTACAAAAAAAACGTTTTTGTCTTTTTCTTTCTAATCTATTACCAAAGTTGTGTTCTCATTACAAAACAACGCTACAATATTTGTTCTTTCTTTGAGGTGCTAGAATTCTTATGATCTATCAAAATCTTTTATATAAAATTTAGAAAATAATTCCCAATAATTTTCTATTATATAAGCATTTACAATATGA